GGCTGTCGTTATCCCTGGCATCGCGTCAGCGCCGCCCCTCCTTGACATGTAGCAGGCTCCCGGATTATGCTAGGTCGTGCTTCATAGCAAGTTATCTCTAGCTCGCTAAACTACAGCGATGGATGCCTCGTCAAGTTAAAAGGATACCGCCGACTGTGCCAGGTGGGTGGATGCTGCAATGGCCGGACCGATAATCACCCACTTAACGTCAACGAGTTGAATGGATTGCAATGCGCCTCGCAAAAAACTGCGCTTCATCCTGTTCCATTGCAATCCATATTCCGTTGATCACATTCAAAGTCAATCCTGCACGCCGCCTTTTCTTCAGTTGCACGCCCCCTTTCTTCAGCCTCTTGACCCTTTCTTCAGTCGTTTGACCCTTTTCCTCAAACGATGTTTCCAGCGAAGCACGGCGAGGAGCGAGGAGCGTTCGATTCCACGTGTATCAGATGCCATGTTACGAGCCTTGAACCGATCTCAGATTCGTTGTGTATGCCAAACGAATCTGTTTGACAGGCAGATTCACTGTCATGTCATGCCGGTATATTCGAAGGCTACTTGTTCAAAGTTGCGCGTCTATCCACCGCACGATCCGACAGTCGTCTGACATTCGCCTCTCCTCATGCACCCACAACCAGGCTTGGTCGTCCCACAGTGCGACGCACGACCCAAAACAGCTGGCACCGACGCGCGCTTTGCACGTTATTCTATGGCAGTGAATCTGCCTGTCAAACAGATTCGTTTGGCATACACAACGAATCTGAGATCGGTTCAAGGCTCGTAACATGGCATCTGATGCACGTGGAATCAAACGCTCCTCGCACCGCGCCGTGCTTCGCTGGAAACATCTTTTGAGGAAAAGGGTCAAACGACTGAAGAAAGGGTCAAGAGGCTGAAGAAAGGGGGCGTGCAACTGAAGAAAAGGCGGCGTGCAGGATTGACTTTGATTGTGATCAACGGAATATGGATTGCAATGGAACAGGATGAAGCGCAGTCATTGCAATCCATTCAACTCGTTGATCTTGAGTGGGTAATTATCGGTCCAGCAATTGCAACATCCACCCACCTGGCACAGTCGGCGCAGGATTCTCCAAACCTGAGCCAGCCCTTGCGTCTTCGTCCTCACGGCTTCACGAGGTGTTCGTCACTATAGCTAGGTAGACGAAGTACTCGCTGTTATACACGACCCGGGAGCCTGCTGGGACTCCGGAGAGGCGGCATTGATGCGATGTCAGTGTTTGAGGTGACTTCGTGCTTTCAGTAGTTGTCTTCTTGGGTATAAAGCTCACTGAAAACGTGTTGCATGTGCAATGAATTGAAATGTAGCGTGCCGCGATAACGTGCGTACCGACGTCGACTCTGGGGTACAGCTTCTTCAGCGTGCCACGTCACGAGTCGACGCATTTCGTGCTGCCACGTCAAATTTCGAGTGCAACCGACGGTTTCGCCTTTGATGTTTGACGACATCCGCAGCCATTGAACTCGGTGAATAAACATTTTCCAAAAAGAGTCTAAGCAGGGAACAACGACAGTAGCATATGCGTGAAAATTGAGTGATTTCAGCGTTAAACGCTACAACATGAATATACAAACGACCTAGGTCATCGAATCTACACGCCAGCTTGCTTGGGGAACGGCGTCTTGGACTCGTTGTACTCGGCGTCTTCGCCCGAGAGCTCTTCGAGCGTGAGACCCTTGGTCTCCGGCACCCAGAACGAGAAGAGAAGACCCATAAAGCAGCACGCCGAAAAGATGTACAGCACACGGTCAAAGCCCCACGTCTTGGCGACAACCGCAAAGCACTGGGCTGCAATGATGGCACCAGCCTTACCCGAGGCGGCCGAGATACCGTGGCCCGTCGAGCGCACGGCCGTCGGAAACACTTCGGCCGGAATGATAAAGGTTGTCGTGTTGGGGCCAAAGTTGAAGAAGAACTGCGCGAACGAGTACATCACAACAAAGATCGTCGTGTGGTTGGTCTTGAGGTCGTTGAGGAAGATGGCCATGAAGAGGAAGAGGAGCGTGAGCATGACGAAACCCATGTATTGGATCGGCTTGCGACCCCACTTTTCGACAAAAAAGACCGTAAACCAGTAGCCAGGCACCGTGCCGGCCAAGTTGATCAA